AAAGAGGAAGAAAATAAGGGGAAGAAGGGGGAAGAGGGGGGGAGGGGAAGGAGGAGGAGGAAGAGGGAAGGGATATAGAAAAAGAGTGAGGAGTAATAAAAAGACAGAGGGAGGGAGAAAGAATAAAGAGAAAGGAGGGAAAATACAGAGGAAGAGTGAGGGGAAAAAAGAGGAAGAGGGAGGGGGAATAATGAGAAAGAAATAGAGGAAATAGAGAGTAAGAGGGGGAAATAAAGACGAAGAGGGAGGGTAAATAAAGAGAGACAAAGAGGAAGGGGAAATAAATATGAAGAGGAAGGGGAAATAAAGAGAAAGGAGTGAAAATAAAGAGAAAGAGGGAGAGGAAATAAAGACGGGGAGATAAAGAGACAAATAAATAGGAAGGCGAAAACAAGAGGAAGAGGGAGGGTTTGACAAAAGAATGAGGGAGAGAATGAATGAAAAAAGTGATGAGGTGTAAATAACCGTCTAATTGCATACATAATAAGAATGGAAATTATGAGAAATAATAATAACAATAAGTATATATATAGTATTTAATAAAACATTTGAGACAAATTGAGAATCACGTCGAGCTTGAAAAAAAAAGTGAGATTAATGAGTATGGTGATAAGGTCGACGAAAAAACATGTAGAATATGAAGTGAGGAGAAATCATACTGAATTATTGATGGTAGCATTTTGCAACAAGGTTCTGGGGAGGGAGATAAAAAGAGATAGTCTTAGGAGGTGGTAAAGAAATCAATTTTATGCGCGTGTGTTTGTGTGTAACCTTGAAAATGTTTGAGCAAACGCACAGGAGAAACAGAAAGATATCTCTTTCTTTCTTTCTTTCTGTCTCTGTCTCTCTCTCTCTTACTCTCTCTCTCTCTCTCTCTCTCTCTCTCTCTCTCTCTCTCTCTCTCTCTCTCTCTCTCTCTCTCTCTCTCTCTCTCTCTCCCCCCCCCTACAAAACCACACACACACACACACACACACACACACACACACACACACACACACACACACACACACACACACACACACCCCGACCCCTCCTGCATCGGCGCGGCAGGCTAACAGTGGGGAAATCATCCTCAGAGGAAACAGCGGCAGATTGGAAGCCTCGTCGATAAACACATCTTGAAGCCCCGCCGCCTGCCTTAAGTATCAGCTGCCAATAGCCGTCTCATGTCCTGACGTTCCAAATATTGTAATTGCTGACGCCGACATGACGCGGGCAATTATATCAGATGGTGTCTCGGGCCCCGCCGGCTTAAGCGCTCTTCATGGATTAAGCTTCTAATGAGGCTTAATTTGCTTGTAGATGTCGGACGCGCCGAGGGGCTGTGTCGCTCTTGCTTGCTGCGGGTCTCGGGAGGAGGGGTGGAGGCGGTGGGCGGGGCGGTGGTGGGCGGGTGCGGGTGGAGGGGAGTGGGAGGGGTGGAAGGCGGGTGGGGGTGTGGGGTGTGGATAGTGGGCGGGGGATGGGGCGTTGGAGGATGGGGGGGTGGATAGTGGGCGGGGGATGGATGGTGGGCGGGGAGTGGAGGGAGGGAGGGAGGGAGGGAGGGGGGCGTTGGGCGAGGTGTGGAGGGTGGAGTAGGGGTTAGGACGGCGGCGCTGAAGAGAGGTGGGAGGCGTCCAGGGGGTGGGCTACGAGTGGAAAGGAGGGGGAGGGGAAAGGAGGGGGAGGGGAAAGAGGGGACCAGAGGGATGGGCTACGACATTGCCAGGGGAGGGAGAGAGGGAGGAGGGGGACCAGGGGGGACGAAGGAGACCAGGGTTGGGGGGGGAGGAACCAGGGGGAGGAAGGGTAATGGGTTCAAACGAGGACAGAGAAGAGAGGAGGGCCGTGGGGGGGGGGGGAGGCGTGGAATGGCGCAAGACGGGCGAGAAGATGGGATTTGAGAACTTCTATGGTGAGTGAAGTACTCTCACAGAGACTATTATTTAAAGCAATTGTAATTAAGTACTAATTACTTTTATTATCTTGAGGTACAGTTTAGTAGGGAGTTTTTAGAACCCTCATTCGATAGAAATTAATAGATGGGTTCTAGTGAGGATACTAAAAGATATGGAACATATAACGAGAGCAATAATAATAATAATAATAATAATAATAATAATAATAATAATAATAATAATAATGATAATAATAATAAAAAATAATAATGATGATGATAATGACGATGATGACGATAATAACAATAATAATGATAATAACACAACAACAATAATAATAATAACAATAAACATCAGAATACATTTTGATTTCGAAACAATCTTAAGAGCACGTAAGACAAAAAAAACAGGAGTTTAATAGGTAACGTCCTACAGAATATCTTGAGATGCAACTTGCAAATACCCACAAACAGAGAGGAGCCCAATTAGGCTGAGGCAAAGCGAAGTGCCACTCAAATTCACTAAAATACCATACGTACGCCAACTCTCTACTATTGAGGTCCATTCACAAATTTCCTTTATCGACCAAGATGAAAGACACACTCACAGCCTGAGTACAGAAGCGAGCAAAGCTTTATGCATATCGCTAACAAAGTTATTCCAAAAGGCAGACCCGCCATTTTGAACAGCTTGTAAATAGACTGCGAGTGAATACCAAGCTTCTAAATAGCCGATTTACCGGATGTTTCGCCTGGGAATAGCTTGTTAACTCCATAATTTCTTATAAAACGGCTGATTAGTGGATTGATTGCATATAAATGGGAAATTATTAAATGACCTAACTACAAAACGGGGTGATACGAGAGGGTGTGCTCTTGCGTAGAAAACAGAGGAGGTTTCAGGGGGGGGGGAGGGTAAGTTCTCGGTCTCTGCGCAGTTTTCAAGGCTAAATGAGAACCGCTTCGCCAAGACGTTAGACGTACGCACACGGGGCAATTGTGCGTTAATCCTATTCATAACTGCAGTGCCGTACATACATATAAATGCTAAATTGAACACGTGGGTACATAGTTTTGAAACGGCAAAAATAAAGATACATTATCGTAAGGGGGGGAGGTAGGAGGGAGGGAGGGAGGGAGGGAGGGAGGGAGGGAGGGAGAGAGGGAGGGAGGGAGAGAGAGGGAGAGAGGGAGATAGATAGATAGATAGATAGATAGAGAGAGAGAGAGAGAGAGAGAGAGAGAGAGAGAGAGAGAGAGAGAGAGAGAGAGAGAGAGAGAGAGTGAGTGAGTCGAAGACAGAAACAAAGAGAGAAAAAAAAAGACGAGACAGAGAAACACGAATTCATTGCATTGTCCACTCCCACCTATAATTAGAACTAGCTCCCTCCGCGTCCTCCTTAATAGCTTTTCGATATAATGACTTCAATCTAGCGCGGTTCGCCAATCAACCTCGAAGGCGGTTCATCACGAGAGGAGAACCCCGTCATTACAGCGTCCAGGTCGTCCTCGCAATGACGACTGCTACGGAAGGTCGTCGCAGTCGTCGCCTTTGAGTCTAAGGTCGTAGTCGTTCTCTCGGGCCTCCGTCTTGGTCGTCTCGTGGGAAGCTGTTTTATTTATTCCATAGTTAATTTATCAATTTATTTTTTTTTTCTTCATCATTAAAGTTCCTTGGGGAAGAAAGTAATTTTCGATTCGATTCTGTCAGAGGAATAATCATTATCATTATTCTTTTTTAATAATTACCATTATCATTAGTATCATGTTTATAGTTATCTTTATTAGTTTTTTCCCCCCGTGATTATAATGATAACAATGACGGTAACAATAATAATAACAATAACAATAATAATAATAATAAAAATAATGATAATTTTCAATATTATTATGAGTATCCCCATCCTTCTCCTCTTCCTCATAATTATCATCATCATCAAGGTATTACCCTCTCTTCATCCTTATCTTTTCTTTACCATAATCTGTTCTTTATCTCCCCCATTAAAGCGCTGTCAGCTGATCATGATAAACATCTCCACACTCACTGATAACATCTAGATTATTGCATCCATCCCATCATGACTGTCAATCATGATGGATCAATTAAAACTGAATGCGCCGAGATACATGTGTTTAAGAGTTAGGTTGATAATGATGACATATTAAATGCAATTCGGGTTTAGAGGAAATTACGACAGTGAGAGTGAGGCAGTAAGGGAGAGGGGGAGGGAGGGAGGAAGAAAGGGACAGAGAGGGAGGGAGAGATAGAGAAGGGAGGGAGGGAGGGAGGGAGGGAGAGATAGGGAAAGAGAGGGAAATAGAGGGAAGAGAGAGAGAAGAGAGAGGAGAGAGAGAGAGAGAGAGAGAGAGAGAGAGAGAGAGAGAGAGAGAGAGAGTGAGAGAGAGAGAGAGAGAGAGAGAGAGAGAGTGAGTGAGAGAGAGAGAGAGAGAGTGAGAGAGAGTGAGAGAGAGAGAGAGAGAGAGAGAGAGAGAGAGAGAGAGAGAGAGAGAGAGAGAGAGAGAAGAAAAAAAGAAATTAAACATCACCATCAACAACGAAAACAAAACCCAACATTACCAACACCCTTTCCCATACCCATACGCCAAACCTTAAACCAAAACCCCCCCAAAAACCAGAAGTACCCCCCCCACCCCACCAACCCCCAAAAAAAAATCCCCCCTCCCCCTCGCCATCCCCGCCCCCCCTTCAAAAAGACGATGCCTCCAGAACCTTCCGCCCGGGCGTCATCGACATTAAACTTTCATGTTAATATCCCCATTGGCTGCGATATTTTCTCAAGCTGGGCGCCGTAAACGATGGCCGACGCTCCTTCCCGAAATTGGGGGCTGGGGGGGGAGGGGGGTTGATGGAGGGACATAAGGGTGATGGGAGGAGAGGGGCATGATGGGGGAGGAAAATGGGGGAGAGGGGGGTGAAGAGAGGGTGAAGATGGAGTTGATGGGGGGGGGGAGTGAAGTGGGGGAGAGATGGAGTTGATAGAGATTGAGAGGGGGTGAAGAGGGGGGAGATAGAGTTGATGGGGGGGGGGAAGGATGAAGAGGAGGTGGAAAACGGGTGGAGAATGACAGATGACGGTCAGGGGGGTAGAGGGAGAGA